CTCATTCACTTCTGCACTAGACTGGAGTCCAGTCTCTTTCCTTTCTCTCTTCTTCCCCCCAGTTGCCGATGCCGTCTCCACCTTTGGGGTACCCTGAACCGGCTGGAACTGGTCTTCGGCAAACAGGCACCAAATAAATATTTGTTGAGTGAATAAATAAATGAGCGTGAGTGAAAGAGAATGTCTAGGAATTGACAAAATGCTCTTTAAAAAGTTGCATTGGCTAGGTGTGGTGGCTCATGCCTGTAATCCCAGCACTTTGAGTGGCTGAAAGGACATAACATGGAGTCAATATACCCAATGAGCAGCCATTTTAACATTGCCTAATTGTCATGTTCCTCTAGAAGTTCACTTTTTTTTTTGAGTTGTAGTCTCACTGTCACCCAGGCTGGAGTGCAGTGACACACTCACAGCTACCACAGCCCCCACCTGCTGGGCTCAGCCTCAGCCTTCCAAGTAGCTGGAATTACAGGCATGTGCCACCATACCCAGCTAATTTTTGGATTTATTGTAGATGCTGGTCTTGAACCCCTGGGCTCAGGCAATCCTCTCACCTCAGCCTCCCAAAGTGCTGGGATTATAGGCATAAGTCACCACGCCTAGCTAGCAGTTCACTTTTATTTACTCTCTAATCACTAGCAAAGGACAGAACCGGTTTCTCAGAGATAGCTATTGATAATTGTTTTACAACAGCCTCCTCAGTTTATTTTGTATGAATTAGCTTTTTTTTTCAAGTATTTGCCTCCACCCATAAGACCCAAGCTAACCTAATCAGCCCTTCATGACCTTCATGACACAGACAGACCCCATCACCATGGCAGCAATCATGTGACTTCACCTGATGTCAGTATCTGTGCTTACCTCCCCTCCATGATGATGGGGAGCAGACCACTACCCAATCACCTTAACGACCTGCCTCCGTCAAAGGGAAAGTTAAAAGGCATTCAACTTCAAACAGCAGTCACCATGGCCTTGTTAAGCTGTGGTCTGGCCATGTGTTCTTTGAGCTATGGCCAGGTCATGTTTTCCTAAGCTTTGGCCCCCTCCCCTACCTTAGGGTGGTGAGTCTCTCTCTCATTTATTTTCTGAATAAACTATATTTTCCAATCTAACTTTTGTGCAATTCTTTGCATCTTTCACGTGACACTGGATCACACACCCCACCTTGATGGGCCTGACCTAACATTTTGGAGGCTGGGAGATATTTTAACCTAACAGTGGCAGAGGCAAGAGGATTGCCTGAGCCCAGGGGTTCAAGACCAGTCTGGGCAACTTGGTGAGAGCTCAGCTCTACAGTAAATTGAAAAATTAGCCAGGTGTGATAGCGCACGCCTGTGGTTCCAGTGGCTTGAAAGACTGAGGCGGAAGGATCACCTACCTGAGCCCAGCAAGTCAAGGCTGCGGTGGCCATGATTGTGAAAGAAAAAAAGAAAGAAAAGAAAGAAAGTTTGCATCAATGTACACCCTTGCCAACCATGTAGTATAGTGCTCTATACCTTATACACCATCTTAATACTAACTTTATTTATCTTTTTAAATTTTGTCAGTCTGGATAATAAAAAATATCTCCTTCTTTTAACTTGTTTTCCCTGATCATTAATAAAATGGAGTAACTTTTCATATGTTTAGTAGACATTTCTATTTCCCCTTTTAAATTATCTTTTCATGTTCTTTACCCATTTTCCTATTTGGTTATTTGTCTTTATCTTATTAATTTGTAGGAATGCTGTAGATATGGGAAATTATTTTTGTCTGTTATACATGTTGCAAGCATTTCTACCAATTTGTCTTTTTCTTTTGTTTGGGTTTTTTAAATCTCAGTCTTTCTAAGAATGTAATTAAGAGCACAGACTCTGGAGCTAGACTGTTGGGTTCAAACACAAGCTCTGCCTCTTACTAGTTGTGTGACCTTGTAGGTTACTAAACTGTGCCTCCATTTCTTCATAGAATAAGGGTAATTATAGAATCTTAACTCATAGGGTAATGAGGATTACATGAGTTGATGTTTGTAAAGTGCTTGTAACCATCTTTAGCACAGAGTGAATACTACAAAATGTTAGCTTTACTACATGTAGTCCTGAAGTTTGATATCTTGGAAGGACTTCCCCAAACGCCCAAAATTAAAAAAATATATATTCTGTATTTTTTTCTAATTTTTTTTTAAGTTGGAGTCTTACTCTGTTGCCCAGGCTGGAGTGCAGTAGCATGCTCACGGCCACTGCAGCCTCAAACTGCTGGGCTCAGGTGATCCTTCCACCTCAGCCTTCCAAGTAGCTGAAACCACAGTCGTGCGCCACCATACCTGGCTAATTTTTTGATTTATTGTAGAGGCAAGGTCTCGCCGTGTTGCCTAGACTGGTCTCAAACCCGTGAACTCAGGCAATCCTGTCACCTCTGCCTCCCAAAGTACTAGGATTACAGGCATGAGCTACCATGCCCGGCCTCTTCTAATAGTTTTATAGTTTATTCTGTGTACTTAAATATTTTTTAATTGTTTTAATTTTTTAAATTTATTTATTTAATTCTTATAAAATAGAGACAAAGTTTTGCTATGTTGCCCAGACTGATCTTGAACTCCTGGGCTCAAGCAATTCTCCTGCCTCTGTCTTCCAAAGTGCTGGGATTATAGGCATGAGTCACCATGCCCAGCCTAGATCTTTGGTCTAACTCAACTTGATTTAAGACATGAGATAAAGATCTAATTTTTCCCCCAATAGATAACCAATTGTACCAACCCTATTTTGTGAATATGTCATTATTTCTGTACTGGCCACTGGTGCTACACATGGGTCTGTATCTGAACTAACCATTCTGTTTCATTGCTCTACTTACTATTATTATTATTATTATTAAGTCAGAGTCTCACTCTTTTGCCCAGGCTGGAGTGCAGTGGCATGCTCACAGCCACTGCAGCCTCAACCTGCTGGGCTTAGGCAATCCTTCCTCCTCAGCCTTCCAAGTAGCTGGAACTACAGGCATGCACCACCATGCTCAGCTAATTTTTTTTTTTTTTACTTATTTTAGAGATGAGGTCTGCCATGTTGCCCAGTCTGGTCTTGAATTCCTGGGCTCAGGCAATCCTCTTGTCTCTGCCTCCCAAAGTGCTAGGATTACAGGTGTGACCCACTGCGCCTGGCCTATTTAATATTATTGTATCAGTAACACAATTTTAATTTTTATAACATAATAAATTATCTTACCTGGTAAGATAAGTGCCTACTTTACTCTTATTTTTTCAGAATTTCCCAGATTATACTAAAAGGTTGATTCTTTTGATTTTGTTTAGAATCAAGATCTCCCCCAAATTTCATTTATTTTCATTTGATATTAAATGTATAGACAACTTAGGGGAAAATGACATCGTTATAGTGATATTTTTCCCAACCCAAGATATGGTGTATCTCTCTATTTCTGGCCTTCTTTAAGATCTTTCTGCAGCTGGGCTCGGTGGCTCAGCCAGTAATCCCACGCCTTGGGAGGCTGAGGTGAGCGGATTGCCTGAGCCCTCGGGTTCGAGACCAACCTGGGCAACTTGGTGAGACCTCATCTCTACAATAAAATCAAATATTAGCCGGGTGTGGTAGCATACGCCTGTAGTTCCAGCTACTTGGAAGGCTGAGGTGGAAGGATCGCCGGAACCCAGCAGGTCGAGGCTGCAGTGGCCGGGAGCAGCCACTGCACTTATCTGGATGACAGAGTGAGACTCTAACTCAAAAAAAAAAAAAAGATCTTTCTGAAGTTGTGTTTATATTAGTATCCTTTAATACAGTTGATTTTATGCCATGTCTTTCAATCCCAACAACACTTTAGATATAGATCTCATTATACTCTACTCAAGACCCTTTGATCAAAGTCAAATTTGGATAAAAGTGATTCATGAGTCTAAATGAAATTCATGATCTAAAGCTCTAAAAAATGTGAAAGCTTAGAAGGTGGTGATAGAACTGAGGGATGGTGAGGTGTCGGTTGGAGGACAAAGCCTGTGTTTGAACATCACAGATGATCTCAGAAACTGTCTTGAGTATATCATTTTTTTTGCATGGAAAAGTAGAGGGAGATATGTGAAGTTAGTTCATTTGGGGAAGATGAGAAGAGTGTGGAGAAAGAGATAGAAAAAGAATCCCTTGGCTTCATAAGTCCAGAAATAGCAGTTATCCATTGACTGAACTCCTCCCAAGTCCAGCCAGTTTTACCCCAGAAATGACTCTTCATTCAGTCCAACCCTTCTTTTCCTTTCCACTCTATCCTTCATCATTTTCTCTTGGCTGGTTTTATCAACAGTTCTGCCCAACTCCTTTCACCCTCCATCTTGCCCAGAATTATCTTCTTTTTTTTTTGAGTTGGAGTCTCACTCTGTCACCCAGACTGGAATGCAGTGGCCGCTCCCGGCCACTGCAGTCTCAATCTGCTGGGCTCCGGCAATCCTTCCGCCTCAGGCTTCCAAGTAGCTGGAACTACAGGCACACACTACCACGCCCAGCTACCTTTTGATTTATTGTAGAGATGAGGGCTTGCCAAGTTGCCCAGGCGGGTCTCGAACCCGCAGGTTCAGGCAATCCACACACCTCGGCCTCCCAAAGTGCTGGGATTACAGACTGAGCCAGCTAGCCCGGCCCAGAATTATCTTCTAAAAAGAGAAAATTCATCATCTACCTCTTCCCTTAAAAAAATCACTACTGGTTCCATGTGCCCTTCTCCAGAGCTCTCCTCAGTCTCATTCCTTCTCCTGCTATACAAAATCCTCCACAACCTGTTCCGGTCTTCCTCTTCAGCCTTCTTTCTCCTGCCCTCCCCACCAACTCTCCAGAACAAGATGTGCCTTGCCTTTCTCTCTCTTTGGAATGCCCTTTCTCAAGTTCTGCCCATCCTTCAGAAAGACTGTCCTCAAATGTTCTCCAGACAGCTTGCACTCCCTCCACCTCCGCTCTGGCCAAGCGCTGTTAGATGCTTTGTCTTCTGAGTCATAACTCTATTATAGCATTCCTGGGATCATAATACCTACTTACGTGTCTCAATTATACTAGGAAGGCAGGGGCCATGGTTATTCATGTGTGCCCCCTATGCTTGGCATAGTGAATAGCACAAAATAGGCCTGGATGGAGGGATGGATGAGTAGGTGGATGATAGCTGGGATGGGTGGGTGAAGGAGATGGATAGAGAAATTAGAAAAGGGAGTCCTGAGAAGATCAATAACAGACACCAGGGGGAGCTGACACTCCACAATAAAGAAGCACAAGGGCGGGCCAAAGAAGACTGCAAACTGTGAGGTGAGCGGGTGAGCGGCGCTCAATGAAACAAGCATCACGCAACTGGAACCTCTCACCCACGTGCGCATCCCCTCATCCTCCTTCCCAGACTCTGCTTGAGCCAATTCCATCGCCCCCACCACCCCTGTCGCCTCCACCGCCACTAAGAAAGCAAACAAAAGGGAGGAGACCCCTGCAGTGTTCTGGATGCCAGGAACCAATCGGAGGGCTTTAGTCTCCTGGAAGGCAGGCGCCTCCGTTTGAGGGGGTCCAATCAGCTTCTAAGGGTTGCGGAGGGGCAGAGGGATAGGCGGGAAGAGCAGGAGGAGGACTCCCCGGGGAGGGAGCATGGAGGGGTGGGGGGCGGAGCCAATCACCAAGCGTGTCTGTGAGGAGAGGGCGGGTAGCTGACGCATCAGACCCCACTTCCCCGGGACCAGAGGGAGGGCCGGAGGGGAGGGGAGGGGAAAGAGGAGACAGCACGGAGGGCGCGCGTGCGCGGTGGTGCGGGGAGGAGCAGGGACTTGGCAGCGGGCGAGGAGGCTGCGAGCGAGCCGCGAACCAAGCGGGCGCCGGGCGGCGGGCGCGCGCACCATGGGGGAGAAACCCGGGACCAGGTAAGGGAGGTGGGGCCACGCCGCGGGGCATGGGCGGCGGCTCGGGACGGGTGCTGGCATGGTCCCCAGACAAGGACACGGGGGAGAGACTCTGGGGGCCGGATGCATGGGTCCCTAGGGGACAGGCATCCGGGGCCGCACGCGTAGGACCTCGAGGATAATGGTGGCGGGGGGCGCGTGCCCCGGCCCCTGCAGTAAGCGAGGCCCGAAGGGGATCAGAAACCCGGTGTTGGGCTTCTCGTAGGGATGTGGGGGCCAGACTACTGGGTTCTCTCGTGCAGACTGAGATGCAGGGGCGAGGAAGGAGAAGCAGGTGGCCGGCCTGGAGGGGTCATGTACCGGAGGCTGGATGCTGGATGCTGGGAGGGGGAATCCCCTCTAGACTCGTGCCGAGCTCACGGAAATCCTCCTGCCCAATACCCCACAGGCACTCGGGCTGCCCACACCTGTCCCGAGGGCCGGGTAGCGCCTCTCCCAAACTTCTTCCTTCCCCTGGGTTGCTAGGAACAAGATCTTCATTTTGGGGGAGCAGAGTGCATGGCAACCCTCCCTGAAACTGGACAGTATACCTCTCTCCGGGGATCGGGGGAGGCAGTATCTGCCCTGGGCATGCATCCACTCCCCGGATGTTTTCTGTGCAATCAAGGCTCTTTCCTTCCACTGACACCCCGAGTTCTCTTTTTTGGTCTCTAGCAAAATCCACTTCCTGCTGTGACTCAACACCCCCAAGGGGCCAGGGGTGAATGCCTGAGTCCCAGGGGAGCAGGAGCAAAAAAGGATAAGGCTGGAGCTGTATGCCTTAACCCAGGGGGATCAGGAATGAGGACTTAATCCTGAGGTGTCACTTGTTCTGCAAAACATCATATAAGCTGTACCACTTTTCATAGAGTATGAGAACCCAGGTTTCTGAGCACCAAGTAGATGAATAACAGAGAATTTCAGAGAGAGGACTGGTGTCCCAGATTAGGGTTTAAACACCCCAGAGAAAGGGGAAGTTGCTGACTTGAGGGAGGCCCCTGATTTCCGTTATGTGGTTCAGGGAGGGGGACAGATGGACCAAAGGGAGACTGCTGACTTGGCACAATTCTCCTCACCATCCCCACCCCCATCAAATTTGGGGCCACAGGAAATGAAGAGAATAGCAAGAAGTGTCAGGGGGCATCTGCTTCAGCTGATCCCCCTCATTGGGCACCTCCCTGGTCTTCCACATAGTCTACCTCCTTGGCCAGCTTCAGTATATGCACGCTGCTGCTCCTCCCTAGCCTGGCAGGAGGTGGCTCTGTTAGGATCCAGGTGCTCCACAGCTGCTCCAAGGCAACTGCCCCAGAGCCACATTCCCATTGGCTAACTGACTATGGCTGTCGCAGCCCTCTGCCAAGGCTCTTAATGGGAGGAAACACCGGGACAAAGAAGAAAACCAGAAGCAAATGGGAGGGAAAATCTGGATGACACCATAGCAGTCAGCCCCCAAGTTGGTACAAAAGCTAGGAAGTTTATCCTGGTTGCCACCACATTGTTGTTGACTCTCCTTTATTGATTGGGGTTGGCTGGGGGCCTCCACACCCTTTGCCTTATGACCTTTGAACAGCTTGGCATTCTGGGAAGAAGGGGCAAGGGAAGTTGGTATAGTAGAAAATGGGGTGGTGGAGATGGAGGAGAGGTGGGCCAGTTGGCAGGATTTCAGTTTCTGCTATAAGGGGACCATTTCCAGGGTGCTGAGGCAGAGTGAATTAGAAGGAGTGTGGCGGTACCTCAAAGAAAAGGCTCATAATTGGCCAGAGCTTGGGGTCATCAGACACTTCCCTACCTTTCCAGCAATGGATGGAGTCCAGGCTTAGATTGTTTCGCAACTGGGAAGTGAATACCCATCAATTCAACAAACTGTTGATGCCACCCATGAACAGCTAGTGTAACAACAGTTCAGTGACTAAGGGCATGGACTCAGACCCAGCTGCCTTCATTTATTTCTCAGTTCCACCATTTATGCTCTCTGTGACCTTAGACAAATATTTGACCTCTCTGTGCCTAAGTTTCTTCTCCTGTAAAATAGGAATATTAGGGCCTCCGTCATTTGGTTAAGAGTATTAAATGAGATAACACACATAAAACACTTGGAACAGTGCTGGCACATTGTATTCACCTTATTATGTTAGCCAGCAGCAGCAGCTTCATCATATGGCTGTCATTGTGCTGGGGATGTCTAAATGAATAACGTCTCTGAGGCTCACAGTCTAAGGAGAGAGACACATGATATACAACTAAGTGCCCTTTCGTGCTATCACACCACATTTAAAACATAAACAAGGTGTGACCACGGTCTGGGTTGGGTCTGCTTCTTAAAGGCTGGGCCTTGAAAGACAGATAGGCTTTTAAGCTGCTGAAGTCAGAGATGGGAACATTTGGAGCTTAATGGAGTAGGGTCAAACTTGGGCAGTACCTATGGTAGAAACCATGCTAGGAGCAAAGGCCAGAGCCATTGCTTTTCTTTGTGTTCTAGCTGTTGTTGAAGCTGATGGAACGATGGTTAGGTCTTACCCAGACATTGCTGCAGCCTGCCTATTCAGGTGGCCTCTGGGGAGAGCCTGGGTGGTTCCTAGGGCACCCAGTGGCCATTACTGTGGAGTGAAGAGGACTAGTGAGGCCAAGGGCAAGAGAAGGGGTGTTTGCCCTGGCTGCCATGTTGGGAATATTAAGGACTTTCTGGGGAAAAAGCAGGATGGGGTAGAACTGGGCAAAGCCCCACAGCCGCCAGCCAGGAGTCCTAAGCGAGCTCTGCTTCTCAAGCTGGGGAGGGGTAAGGTCCTGGTTTGGGGGTCCCTGCTGAGTCTGAGGGAGGCAGTGGGGTTTCCCTTTCTGTTTTGTTAGGGTCTTCAAGAAGTCGAGCCCTAACTGCAAGGTGAGTCTCCCACAGTGCTTATCCTTTTGACCCTCCTTCCCTGGGCCCTAACAAAGCCCAGCCTACCCCTAGACGATCCCCAACCCCTAGCTCCCCACTTCCTGTGACAGCTAAGAGCTGACTTCCTTCCCTCCTGAAGCCCCTTGCCGCAGAGGTTGCTCAGCCTGAGCCAGCCACAGGGCTGGGTGGGGGCAGGCCTAGGTCCCTAAACTAGACCAAAGGGGAGGAGGCCAGAAGCAAGTCCTGTGCCTGTAGCCCTCTTAGGAGCCTAACCAAGGTGCTTGGGGCTGGGAAAAGTTAACAGCCCACCAGGCTATGGCCTGTTTATCCCAGAGCCTCTCAAGGGGACCTAGTGAGGCTGGCAGCTGCTCTCTTAACTGGCTGGTTGGGCTGAGTCCTCTCTGGGGAACCAGACACACACGCACCTGACTGGTAGGCAGATGTGTGCAAGATTAGGGAGCAGCTACAAAGCCTAAAGGTTGAACTGCCTGGGAAACCCCACCACCCTCACTTTCCAACACTACTGGGAGGAAAACCGGAGAAACTTCTTCCTGATAGTCCAGCCTGGGAAGTCTGGGTCAGGGTAGCCACTTTTGAGGGCTCTGATGCCTTGTCACCGTCCTACCCAATCTTCCCTGTGACCCCTTGACATCCTCAGCTCACCGTGTACTTGGGCAAGCGGGACTTTGTAGATCACCTGGACAAAGTGGACCCTGTAGGTAAGTTTTTCCAGAAGAGGACAGCTCATCCTCTAAGAGGGAAAGAAGTTTCTGGGCCCAGGAATGGGGCCGAGGCCCTTTCTGGAAATGAGCCCATGTGTCCCTTTCCTAGATGGTGTGGTGCTTGTGGACCCTGAATACTTGAAGGACCGCAAAGGTACTGGCCTCAAGTCCAGGGGGCCCCGGGAAAGGTAGGGAAGTGAAATGGGCTGGCATTGGAAGGGTGCCCCAGAGAGATGGAAGGCTGAGGTGGAAGCCAGGATTCAAGTCTTATGCTACTGAGGGAGGAGCAGTGGCTTGCTGGGAACTGGGGGGCTGGAGAAGGGGGGCTCCTGACCACCCCACCTTGCCTTCCCTTGCCAGTGTTTGTGACCCTCACCTGCGCCTTCCGCTATGGCCGCGAAGACCTGGATGTGCTGGGCTTGTCCTTCCGCAAAGACCTGTTCATCGCCACTTACCAGGCCTTCCCCCCAATGCCCAACCCACCCCGGGCCCCCACCCGCCTGCAGGACCGGCTGCTGAGGAAGCTGGGCCAACATGCCCACCCTTTTTTTTTCACAGTGAGGATGCCCCCGCCCCCTGAGGGCAAGGGGTCTGGGACTGTGTTTGGGGTGGGAGGGAGGCACCTGTTATAGGCAGATCTGGAAGAAACAGTGAGGCAGGGGCCCTTTGATCTTCAGGTCATACTGCATTCAGGAAGCCCTAGACTCTCTGCCTCTTCCCTAGAGCCCCTTCCTTCTTCCTTTCTTTTCCCCGTGAATCCTTGTTCTAGCCTCTTATGTTGAGATTGGGAGGAAGATCCGGGGGCTTCCTGGAAGAACTGAAGCCTCCCCTTTCCTCTGCCTCAGATGCCCCAGAATCTGCCCTGTTCCGTCACACTGCAGCCAGGACCAGAAGACACAGGAAAGGTACAGGAGGAATGGCTATGGGGGCTCATAGGGCAAAGCTGGGTCCAGCAGGAGCCTGGGAACACAGCTGAGCTAGAGAGTGAACTGTCCAGGAGCCAGGGTGGGACTGAGGGTGGCAGTGTATGGTGTGGCCACTGTGCACACATGACCTGCTCTTGTGCTCTTGATCTGCATGTGCGTGGTTATGGAGGCTTCCCTTCCAATGCCATGATCAAGCCTCTGCTAGGTGCCAGGCCTTAAGGAGGTGGAATACTCAGCCCCTACACTCCTCAGACCAAAATGGGACAAGAGCCCCTGCCCAAGAGGAGAGAAGAGGGGCGGAAAGAAGAGAAATGGTGGGTGGTAGCAGGAGACTTGGGTAAGTGTGGCCTTTTCTCCCCTTCCCAAGGCCTGCGGTGTAGACTTTGAGATTCGAGCCTTCTGTGCCAAATCACTAGAAGAGAAAAGCCACAAAAGGTGAGGGAAGTAAGCTCCTCTATGGTATAATCATTCCTTCCCTGCTTCCAGGAACCTGTGGGAGGTAGGAGTAGGGGTTTGAATGTCTGAAGACTGACCCTCCTACCCCTTTCCCCCACCCCAGGAACTCTGTGCGACTGGTGATCCGAAAGGTACAGTTTGCCCCAGAGAAACCCGGCCCCCAGCCTTCAGCTGAAACCACACGCCACTTCCTCATGTCTGACCGGTCTCTGCACCTCGAGGCTTCCCTGGACAAGGAGGTGGGGTGTGAAAGGGTGACGCAGATGCCACGATATAGGCCAGACTGTGGGGGAGGGGTGAAGCCACATGTCCGGATGTCATTTTTAAAGGAGGCTGCCTTAGCTGGGTGTGGAGAGTTGCTATAGGCTTGGGTTTAGAGCGGGGGCAGAGCAATGTATCTGTATTGAGGGACACACTAATAATAAGACCACTGACAAACAGATCCAATTCACATGACTCCCTCCCCTCAAAAGCTATACTACCATGGGGAACCTCTCAGTGTCAATGTCCACGTCACCAACAACTCCACCAAGACCGTCAAGAAGATCAAAGTCTCTGGTAGGAAGTGGGAGTTGGAAGGAGATCCTGGGGGAGGGAATTACAAGTGGCTTCTGGTGTGATCTGAACCCAGGCCATACCCAATGCAGGAGACTCACCAGGGCTCAAAGAATTTAGGTTGTTCCAGAAGGACCTCACGCCCTGGTGGTTATTGCTTCAGGGAGGGCTCTGTGTCAGAGGGGTGGAGGGCAAGTGTACTGGGCCTGAAGCTCACATCACACTGTCTGGAGTAGTGACATGGTGACAGTTTGCGCTGTGTCCAGAGCTGCCTGACCCCACCCTGCCCCACAGTGAGACAGTATGCCGACATCTGCCTCTTCAGCACCGCCCAGTACAAGTGTCCTGTGGCTCAGCTCGAACAAGAGTGAGTATCAGAGCAGACCTGGGACCCAGTCTTAGAGGAGAAGGGTAGAAAGTGAGGTGGAAGGCGGAATTCTTCCTGAACCATCTCTACTTAAAAGGGCATTCCCTCCACAGCCAGATAGCTCTGAGTTGTTAATTTTCTGGTACAGGTAGAGCCAAAGCCTACTCCCTTGTGACCTGTGCCCCAAGAGAAAAAGGACTAGCAAAGGGAGTCTGAGATGCTGCTAGGGGATGGTTGGCTGCCCCTCACTCAGCCCTGCCTCTTCAAAAGACATGTTTTCTTGTACCCACACCCCAGTGACCAGGTATCTCCCAGTTCCACATTCTGTAAGGTGTACACCATAACCCCACTGCTCAGCGACAACCGGGAGAAGCGTGGCCTTGCCCTGGATGGGAAGCTCAAGCACGAGGACACCAACCTGGCTTCCAGCACCATGTGAGGGTGGGGCTGAGGGGGGTCTCTTGCAGACCAGGGAACACACATTCATTCAGTGCCGACTGTGTGCCAGGCTCTGTCCTAGGTGTCAGGGACATATCAGTGAACAGACGAGATGAAAAGAACTCTCAGGTTTAAGAGAGGGAGGATAGACAAATCAGATCGATGGTAAACTTTACAGCATGCTTAGTGGTAAGAAGAAAAGCAAGGCAGAGAAGGGAGATGTAAAGTACGGGACGATGGGAGTGCAGGGTGTGTTAATTTAAAATGGGGTGGCTAAGGATGGCCTAATACAGGGGTGAAATTTGAGTAAGGATCCAGAGGAAGTAGGCAATATGGATATGCAGGGCAAGGGTGTTCAGGCAGAGAGAACTACAAGCACAAAGACTCCAGGATGTGACAGCCCAGAGTGCTGGAGGAATTATGAGGTGCCATTGTGCCCTTGGGCAGGAGCACCCCCGGAGGTACACGGCGTCATAAAGGGTTGGGCTTTACCTCCACTGGCGCCTTTGTTCAGGGTTCTCACTGTACAACCACACACAGCAGGCCAGGAGGGCATCACGGTGAGAACAAATTAAGCACAAAGAGAGCGGTAGGAGGGGAGGCCAGGGGCTAATGGGGAGCAAGGCAGTGCAGGGCTGTTAGGTGAGAAGGACTGCAGCTTTTACTGCCAGTGAGACGAGAAGCCACGGGAGGGTCCTGACCGGGGCATGCTGTGGCGTACCTTACGGTGATAACCGTACAGGCTGCTGGGGCCCTGGAGGCTAGTGCAGGTGTGTGGTCCTGCTCAGAATCCTGACGGGAGCCCCAGATGGGCTAGGTGACCCAGCAAGGAACTCTGGTCCAACTCCCCACCACCATCCATTGCAGTGTGAAGGAGGGTGCCAACAAGGAGGTGCTGGGAATCCTGGTGTCCTACAGGGTCAAGGTGAAGCTGGTGGTGTCTCGAGGCGGGTGAGTGTTGTGGGGGGGTTGGGGGTGTCACAGTGGTTCCCTCTGGCCTCATGTCATCGTCCTCTTCATGATGCCTCTTCCCCTCCTCAGGGATGTCTCTGTGGAGCTGCCTTTTGTTCTCATGCACCCCAAGCCCCATGACCACATCACCCTCCCCAGACCCCAGTCAGGTGAGCACGCCACCCATGCCAAGTGCCTGAAGCAGGGCTGGTGGAGGAAAGCTGGCCCTTCTAGCACCTACCCACCTATCCCCTATCCTCCTCAGCCGCTCCAGAAACAGATGTCCCTGTGGATACCAACCTCATTGAATTTGATACCAAGTAAGAAACTCATTCCCCTACTTTGACCCTTTAGGATAGATTCCTGTAACACTCAAGCCTATCCTTATACGTCCTGTATTGTTTCATTTTGGGGGGGACAGGGTACTGGAAGCACCAAATCAAGATGGCTTAGCCTGTTGTTACCTCTTCTTTGTCCCTTCTTGTAAATACCCCTGGTCCCACTGCTATTGTAACACCTCTTTCCCAGGGGGTGGGGGGCAGGGTAGAGAGTGGAAACTGAGAAAAGGGTTGGGAGCCTTCACCTCACCCTCCTCCTTTCCACCACTAAGCTATACCACGGATGACGACATTGTGTTTGAGGACTTTGCCCGGCTTCGGCTGAAGGGAATGAAGGATGACGACTATGATGACCAATTGTGCTAGGAAAGGGGGCTGGAAGAAGGCAGTGGATGGTGCTGGGAGAGGGAGGGGCAGGACCAAGATCCCCATTGTCGTTGGGAGGGGACAGTGTCCCAGCCTCTCCTCCCTTGCCCTCCATCTGGCAGCTTCCTCAACCAACCCCTTCACTCCCTCTCCCCTGCCCCCAAAGATACGCACTGGACTCATCTCTTGCTGAACGTGGGCATTAAGTTTTTGACTACAGCTCTACTTCTCCAGCCCCCCAGTGGATGGCAAGTTGTGTTCATATGTAAATTTTGTGGTGGGGGATGCTGAAATGAGAAGTGATAGTAGGGAAAGGGGAGAAGAATTCCCACATCTCTAACCTCACACCAACACTCTCTTATCACTCTCTCTGCCTCCCATTTCTTCAAGATGAGACCCTTTGGGGGGCAAGGCCATTTCTTTGTTTCTGAGCATAAAGAAGAAAATAAACCTTTTAATAGGCATGAGTGTGTGTGTTTTCTCTGTAGCATTTAAAGAAAGAATATATAGTGTGCTCATCCATCATGATTCTGTTAGCTTGTGAGTGAGGACTCAGTCTCTTCTTTCTTTTCTTTTCTTTTTGTTTTCTTTTTGAGACAGGGTCTTGCTCTGTCGCCCACACTGGAGTGCAGTGGCACACTCACGGCTCACCACAGCCTCGACCTCCTCCATAAAGCTTTTCTATGTTTTGTTTTTCTAGTGATCCTTTTGCCTTAGCCTCCCGAGTAGCTGGGACTACAGGCACATGCCATAACACCCAGCTAATATTTTTTATTTTTTGTATAGAGGGGGTCTTGCTATGTTGCCCAGCACGGTCTTGAACTCCTGGATTCGTACAATCTTACCACCTCAGCCTCCCAAAGTGCTGGGATTACGGGCATGAGCCACCATACCCAGTCCTTGGTCTCTTTTCTGCACCCAAAAAGCACTTGACACACAAGATATCAATAAATATTTATTGAATGACTGTGCTGTGCCTGTGATCCAAGGTAAACATCGAAACTTGATATAGTCAGTTCAAACTCAAGGGTACAGCTTGGTAAAGCCACAAAGTAAACTTAGTCATTTGCAAGGGAAATAGTAACTGACTTCACTGCAAATGAGGTGCTCACAAGGGCAGGGCAGGGCAGGCTCTTCCCTATTGTGCCTGACACATGACCGCATTGTGACCTGTTGTGACCAAGTAGTGTTCATTTCCACTGCTCCTCTTTGTGACTCAGAGGGACTACAATAGCAGACTTCACAGACAATTTACACACTATCTTTGTAGAGGCTGGTACCTACATTGTAACATAGAAGCAAAGGCTTTGGGCGGCAAGAAAGTCATACTGCTCTGTAATCCCAGTACTTAGGGAGGCCGAGGCGAGTGGATTGCCTGAGCCCGCAGGTTTGAGACCAGCCCGGGGGCAACTTGGTGAGACCTCATCTCTACAATTAAAAAACAAAAAAGAAAATTAGCCGGGCATGGTAGTACACACCTATAGTTCCAGTTACTTGGAAGGCTGAGTTGGAAAGATCACCAGAACCCAGCAGGTTGATGTTGGGGTGGTCGTGAGCGTGCACTCCAGTCTGGGCGACAGAGTGAGACTCCCAACTCAAAAA